AACTCAGAACTGGGGTTAGGAAGATTACATGAGCCATGTTGCTCCAGATTTCCAAGATCCACGGGATTATCAAAACAAAGTTTAATGACACCACAAGTAAAGGATATTTAGCTGAGGTTTGGCTTTTAAATGCGGCTAGCCCTTAGGATTTTATCTTGAGTCTTGACCTGCCTGCATTTTTAAAGTACTTTTGAAAGCATAAATTAAAAATAATTTAAAAACAGACAAATAAGAAATCACAGATATTGTTACATTTTGATTATTCTTAAGTTTATCTCAGGACATCCATGGTCATGATTTTCAAACACTTGAGGTCAATGGTGTGATTCAACATTCCCCAAATCCCCTGCACCTCATCCATGGCACACCTAGGGCTCTGGCAGGACTGTGAACTAAGCCAAAGCAATAGAGAAGCATCTAGCAATGCTGGGAAACAGGCAGTGCAAATTCTCATCCTATTGTCTCATTTTCAGTTAATGTTTGTTACAATCTTTAATTCACAACATTTTAAAGGAATTTGAAAATTACTACAAAAATTTCTAGTTAGATAGTCTGGGAAGTTTTTGGTGACTGGTGGAACTGAGCCTGTGAAGAAGACGATGAACTCAGCAAGACTGTAAAACTTGGTAGTTTCTGGAGCAAAAAGCAGATTCCAGCATCAGCTGTGTTTGCAAAGTTCTGATTTATTTTTTTCCTGAAGCAAGTAATTTGAGTTCATCTATATAGGAGTAATGCGCTAAAATTTTAAAATTAATATAATGGAATCAGTTAATGAGACTGACTACCTGGTGAGAAAACATACCGTAAAGTATAATTCTGCCATAGTATTTTGTTATGATAGCTGTTTCTGTTTAATACCTGTCTTCTTCCTGTTCAAGATCTGCAGAGTTCTCATTTGTGGGAATTCGTAAGAGACCTTCTCCTTTCTCCCGACGAAAACAGCGGCATCCTCGAATGGGAGGACAGGGGACAAGGCATTTTTCGGGTTGTTAAATCAGAAGCTCTGGCAAAAATGTGGGGACAAAGGAAAAAAAATGACAGAATGACATATGAAAAATTGAGCAGAGCTCTCCGGTGAGTTAACAGGTAGAAATGCCCCTCATTTGGAGTGATTTGTGCTATAGCATCCATTTGTTAAGGATATCTTGAAAACTTAGATTGGAAGTTTTTTGGTGTTTTCTTCCAGTTTATTTCTATAGGACCTGACAGGGCCTGGTCTGCTTTGCTCTCAAATAGCATCTTGGAGCTCGATGCCAAGCGACACGGAGCTGTAACTCAGCAGACAACTCGTACTACCACTCTTGCAAAATGACTCCATTTATTTTCATCCTCTAGTAGTGACACTAGCACTTCCTTCTGATTTGTGGTAATCTTTGAAAGAAAAAAAAAAGACAAAAAAAAAACCCACACAACTAGCCAAAGACAAGAGAATGTATTTTTTTGAAATAGTGAAAGACATTCTCCAAAGGCCCTGGGGAAAATTTAAAGCTTTCTACTGCCACAATAGAAATTTAATGAAAAGGAACTCTCTTCCTAGAAGTAACACTGTCACGTGTGTTTTCCTATCATGAAGTCCACACAAAGAATTCCTGTAACATGACTTCTACTGCTACATTTTTCTCTCCTCTTTCATTTTCAAATGCAGATACTATTATAAAACC